AGGTCATTTCGGGACTAACGTATGGTTCAATTTTATTTCAATAATTCGCTTGCGCGTAGGGGTCTAGCAGTGGGGGGAAACCGGGTGATCCTGAAAAAATACACAGGTTGGACGGGCGACCTACTCCTTGTCACGTACGGAAAGATACCCCAGCAGTCAAAATAGGTCAAAATAGGCGATTTCGGTTTCTAGTGTCGATGCATCGTTACGGTCAGTTTAAAAAATTGTCTTTTAAGTATAATGTGTATAGTACCAATACCTATCACATACGGAAGAGGCGATAAAATCTCTTTGCATTTCCAATTTCAAAATTAATTAAAACCAATATTAAATTCCGAAAATTGTTTTTTTGCTAAAACTCTTTTCTTTTTAATGTGATCAAAATGGGGGTAAAGCACAGAGTCAGGGGTGGTAATGGGCGTATTGTGTCCTAATTTCATGGTTTTCGGACAATCGGTGCCGGTGTCACGGCGAAATTCCACTTTTTCCCCTCATGGAAGCCGTAAATTGACGCAAGGAGTAGGGTCGCCTGTCCAACCTTGTGGGTTTTCTCCGGGTCCTCCGGTTTCCTCCCACTGCTAAAGACCCCTACGCGCAAGCGAATTATTGAAATAAAATTAAACCATATGTTGGTCCCGAAATGACCTAGTTTGTGTTGAGTGGACGTTAAACCCCATTTCTCTCTCTCTCTCTCTCCGTAAATTGACTTGAGGCCAGTGTCCTTTAAGTTGTACAGCGGCACCAGGTGACTGATATTTATTTAACGGGGAATAAGTGATAATTCATATTATAGCAGTAAATAATTAAAATATTTCATAGGGATTATAATAATATATCATGTCTGGGTATTACAGGGTTAAAACCAATATTAAATTCCGAAAATCGTTTTTTTGCTAAAACTCTTTTTTTTTAATGGGATCAAAATGGGGGTAAAGCACAGAGTCCGGGGTGGTAATGGGCGTATTGTGTCCAAATTTCATGGTTTTCGGACAATCGGTGCCGGTGTCACGGCGAAATTCCACTTTTTTCCCCTCATGGAAGCCGTAAATTGACTTGGAAAAAAAAAACGACGAAAGGCAGGTGACAAGAACAAACGACTTGAACGAATGCAGGTATCACCTTGAAATTTTCAGGGTGCCTAGGTACCAACGTGAAAAGTTGCTCGCCGGAATTTAGTACTCATGGTACCGTTGGTTCCTGTGTAGCGCATGCGCGAAATCAAAACCAGCTAAACTCGAAAACAACCTTGTCGGCACGGAAAACATCAAAGGAGAAATTCGAATTTTTGAAATATTCAAATACCAAACATTCGACCATGATCCAGGCTATCCTCAAATGTATTAATTTCGGTAATAGGAGACAGATTCTCTAAGCCACGACCAATTGTGTATGTTTTCAAGCCCATAAATGTGGATTTTTCACTAATTTTCATTTTCATTTCAAAATGGCGTCCATCAGTTGACCTAAATCAAAATTCTAAACCGATAGATTTTTAGGCTTTCCTTCGAGCATTCAGAAAATGTAACTCTTATGTCTTTAAGTAAAATATTGCAAAAGCCGTATGGACTTTTCACATTTTGAGATGGTGGCACTTCCGGTTTGCTCGACAGAAAAAAAATTTCAAGGCAATCTGACCTATATTTCGTCGATTTTTTTGAAAACTTTGATCCTTAATTTCACCAAGGGGAGATAATTTAGAAAATTTCCAAGGACATCATTGAAGTCGCATTGGCAAGATCTACTAACATTCTAAATTTCACGAAAATCGCACAACTATTAAAGAAGTTGTCAAATTGGTAATAACTTCCGGTTCGAAATGACAGCGACGAATTTTCGAAATGCCAAAATCCGAAATTGCAGATTTGAAGTAAATGTTTCAAGATACTCAAAGAAAAAAGAATTAGTAAAATAGGTCAAATAGTCACAGAGTTACAGCATTGTAGGTCAAATGCATTCCTTCGTAAAATTCGGTGATTTCGGATTCGTAAAACGTTTTGAAAATATATTTAATCAACAGCCACCACCCATTTTTGGGGGGATAGGTAAAAGTTTCAGAACGATCCTATGGTTAGTTTCTGAGAAATCCGATTTGTGGACAAAACACAAAAAAAAAATAACAATAATAATCTTAACAGAAACAATAAGCTTTCATATGTAATATGAAAGCTTAAATATATGTATTACGAAGAAATCTAGGTGAAATGTTGTACCTGATCGAATATTAATACATCTGGTAAAATCTTGATTACCCTGACTATTTTCTTTCTCTAATATTATATCTATTGTTTCTCCAGGCTGTAATCCAATTGGCACTGCTGGTAATGGTACTACCTTTGTACAATCATATGTCCCTTCTTTTCTTCCACCGCTTATAGTTAAAATATAGAAACACCATTTGATGTCTTGGTTGACAGGATAAAAGTCAATTTCGTAAGATGGTTCTGTACCAGGTTGTATTAACTGTAGTATACAGGAACAGTTGTTGACATTATCCCTAGGTCTTAGATTTATATCTAGATATACTCCAGATCCTGTCTCTACTTCATTACTACACATATTGATCACAGGTACTAAAATAAAAATAAGAAGATATAATATGGACTAAATTTATTTATATGATAAACTGTATATAATTGTCTCTGCTATATCATTCACTAATTTAATCGTCACATCCATTTTTATCAAATTTTTCATGGTTTATTCCACTGATTATTTAACATTTAATCGGCAGGCTTGGATTCAATTGGCGTAGAATGAGACCCACCTAAGATGCTCAGGGATATAGACAAAACAGTGCTAATCCAAAAAGGCTCTTCGTAATAAAGGCCGTATGTGTAAGGAATGCAATCAGACCAAAAGGAGGTTGCACCAAAAGATTTTACCCAACACATACTGGAGGCGACGGCTTGTGTATATCGTCGACAGAGAATGCCAAAGTTTGTGAAATCTTCAATTCATACCTTTGTAAACACTCAACCTATCATGCTTCCAATAATTGTTTATGCACTCATTAATATTATTTATTAATTTTATGCTCTCATTAATATTATTTATTAATTCTATGTTCTCATTAATGTCATGCTCTCATTAATATTATTCATTAATTCCATGCTCGCTTTAATATTATTCATTAATTTCATGCGCTCATTAAATACGAGATAATCAAAAATTTCTTGTTCATCTGATTGACTCTTATTTACCTCCTTATATGCTTGTATATTGATCAATAAAAAAAATTGTGACTTTTATCATTATCTGAAAAGAAAAGCATACTTATCGGCCTAGTGTGTACATGTATATTTTTAACATGATTACTGTAATGTTTTAATTACCTGTATTATTTTTGCACCTATTTCCTATAAATAACAACAAAAACATAGAAATATTAAATGACATAACAACTGAAATAATACATAACCATTGATCAAATCATTTTAAACAAAAGCAGTAAAGTTATATTTTCACCCAAATTGTTACTAAATCAAGTAACTAGTAGTAAACCTACATGTCCACGTCCACTTTTAATAAATGGAATTATTAGTCATCTCTCTTCTCAATGTTGTCCTTGTAAACGACAACCAAATTATTGCCTGAGAAATACTTATTTGTATATAATTTACCTCACCTAAAGATAATGGTAATATGAACAATAAGAAGAACACATTTTGATAAACAGTCATATTCATCTCTGGTTAATTTATTGAAACCACCATAACATAATGTAGAGTAAATTAAACCAGGAAGGAAAATACCTGTAGCTATCGTCCCTTACCAGTATCTATAGCAAGCGTTCAATATAAATAAAGTCAACCAAAGATTTAAATCGAATATCAGGAATTTTATCGATTGCCATAGCTTGCTGACCGAAATCCATCAGCATTTAACCTCTAACTCTAAAATGAATTAATTCACGGGTGATAAGTTATGGACAATTCTCTGACTGACGAGAATGGTTAATGTATTTATATTTAAGGTTGAATGATAGTGACTCTATTATACCATGTAAAACCTGTTTTATGTATGATATGAATAGAATTTCTTAATAAAAGAATACAGCCACACGCTATTTCCCGTCACGATAGGTGTATAGAAATGACTGTTACGTGTGTGAATCTTGTTGAAGCTCAGCACACAGTTTTCGATTGTGTCCAATTTCACCCCATTTAATGATTAAGCAAATGCACATAGCACACGTCTTGTAATAGTGTAGACATATCGTATGACAATATGGTCTTTATAGCGATTTATTTCCACGTGTTATTTTGTTGGCTTTGCAATGCTAAGTCCCCCACAAAATAGTTTTCTTTTAAAGATGTACCAGATGTTAGATTTAGATAAAGAGCTGGTCATTCTTGCTATAAGAGTTCAAAAATAATTAATGAAAAATTCCATTCAAATTACTTTATTCTAAGCGAAGTTATCTGTGTTTAAAGTTTTGACTAGATGTAGCATAGATTATTACGGTAGCAACGTCACATGACAATCGAAACTGCATAGTTTGGTTCATGGCCTGTTCCGGCATTTATTATCAAATCAATTCAAATGATTGGTAATGATGCACTAGTATTGTAAAATTATTTATGTTTGGAATATCATTAGTTCTCATTTTATTGTCACTAATATGGAACTCATAATTTTTCATTCAGAAATAATACAAATACCATATTTCAATCCTCTAAATTACGAACTCAAAACCACAGGAGGGATATCAATCAGTTTGGGACTAAGAGACGTTAATCTTTATTTATGTGGATACGTATGCTATGTGAGGGTTGTGTAATTTGACAAGGGGTCTTTGCGAACATTAATATTTTGTCCATGTACCGTGATTTTTCATCTCAGCATCACATGCGCCATCCTTGGCAATTGGAAGTCGAGCTTGGCGTGAAATACTGGAGACGTCTGTTCTCGCCCATATACAATCCAAACAATAAATAACAAATAATATGCATTAAGCCTGTCGCAACGCTGGATCAGATGTTTATTGAATTATTGGTACATAATAATAACAGTTATTAATAGATATTATACTAAATGCATATATACAATTGTTAATATAAATATTGTTAGTTACAAAAAAACGGAGATAAAAATTTTATAAGACAAATATAAACCTATGAACCTATTCAACCCATTACATGACAAACATACTGTTATACTTGAAGTTATCAAGTCGACGACAGAAGCCAGAATGACACTTATAGACAAGCACACACGTGCATGCCACATCTAATTAATATTCATGTGTCATTACCGACGAACAGGCAACTATTTTCAGCTATACGCTGAAACGCTTAAAAATAAATATATTCGCGTAAATACATATGAATGATATATATAAATATATTAAGGTGTGGAGAGGGTGGCTATGAGATTGATAGTCTTTCTAATACATTGTTTGGCGCGAAATCAACTACTAATTATTAACATCCACAATCCTCCATCACACACACGCGTTAAACTTTCGTCTTTATATCACTTTTTCACTGGCATATTTTATAATTTTATGGTGTTATTATTAGGATATAATTATATAGCACATCTTTTATGTCAAGATGCGCATTACATGAATGTGCATATAACAAAATGAGAGAATAAAATACAAAACATTAAGTATTGGGCAGTATTGAGTAAAATGTCCAATATGTAAAGTAACAATAATGATAAAATAAGGTAAACTTAGATAAAAGCCCGGGTGAATAGATATTCTTGATTTTGACTTAAAAACAGAAACTGATGTGACTTGTCTCATATCAAGGGATATTTTGTTACAGGGCTACGGTGCTCGTACCGAGTCTTTCGCGCGAAAAGCAGTAGACCACTACTGCGTAATTGTATGTGTCAAGAAGGTATACATTTAGTAAATCTGAGTTTCTGATAGTCGTGTCATTCCTTCTGGTTATAACGCCGTTGATTCTACAGTACGTGTGTCTGTTGCTGAATTCAAGGGGTTGTCTGTATCCATAGTTGATGTCTCTTGAAGTATATTCGTACTTTCATTTAGTGCGGATTCGTTATCCTCGGTAGTGGCTTTGTTCTCTATGTCATCTTTAGTTTCTGTTGTACTAGAATCGCCGACCTGTTGCTTCTTTGGTTTATTTGGTACAGCGTACAAAACATCAATACTGTCTTGACTATGTTCTGGTTCATGGTTCCCTTCCTTTATAGGTTTGTTAACGACAGCATACAAGTCCTTTACATCAACTGGTAAAATTGGTTGTCGTTTAGACTTGTGTTTTGGGTTCATGCTACTTGGTATAGATTTGTGTTGCTCCATCTCCCCAGTTGTAGTGTTTTGTTGTTTAGTCGTCTTTGGTGTGTCGATATCAGCCAGAGTATAATGATCGATAACCGAATCATCATCCGTCACGTGATTATCTCCAGCAGAGGCATCCTTTGGAAGCTTTTGGGCTTTAGTCGTCTTTGGTGTGTCGATATCAGCCAGAGCATAATGGTCGGTAACCGAATCATCATGAGTCACGTGATTATCTTCAGCAGAATCATCTCTTGGAAGCGGTTGAACTTTAGCAATTCTACTGTCATAAACATCAGGAACAACAGCATAGTGACCATTGTCGTCACTGGAAGTTTGATTAATGGTATTTTTGTTGTTATGGATAGTATTGTTTCCATAATCAGACTCATCGTCTGTAAAACCAGGATTTATATGTTCCAAGGGAACGTTAGGTGGATTATTTTTTCTTTTCTTCTTTCGTATGCTAGAAAATAAAAATATACGTAACATGTATTTAAATTGAAACAATAAATGAAGTAGGGTTTAACGTCCTACTTTTCTGTACCAACCGGGCCAATGAAGACGGACACCAGTCATACAGTGTGCTCTGAGGAAAATTTTGCCCAGACAGCGGTGTTTTGGTCAATGCTCTTAATCGAATTCAAACTGTCAAGGGTAATATTACCTACACACCAATGTGTACACAAACGAAATTCGTTTTTCCTTCTATCCTAACGCCTTTTCCTTCTTAGGCTCTTCGTTTTGCACAGTCAGATTGAAAATCACTATACAACAAGAGCTAAAGGTTCATAGACTGTCATTATCGTGTGTATTTGTATATTGAATTTCCTTTAAATTATAAAGATTGAATTTTTAATTGAATGCTCTTAAGACCTCACCCTTTAAGTGGTTAATTATTAAACAAATATGTTAAAAGTTTACTAATGGCTATGAACATAATTATGTACTTACCATATAATAATTATAATGACAATAATGATGATGACAACAACTCCAGCCGCTACCCCAATAATGATATATTGAACTGCAAGTCAAAAAATATTGTTTATAATACGTTCGTAGAATATCTTAATTTTGTTTCGGTGAATATTAAGGAAAAATGTTTCGTCAATATTTTATACCGAAAGTTTAGTTTTGATATACATGTATTACAGATCGTGCACATCTGTCAGAGAATTTCGTGATATTCCCATTCTTAAGATTCACACTAACTCATAGTTCTAAAGAAATGTCAAAAGAAAGAGGGTGATTACCTTGTGTGTCTGATAGACCATCTGGAGCTACGTATAAAGTTGTTGTTTCAGTGGATGTCTCTTCAGATCCTGTATAAGAAGAACTTGGATTTTTTGTCATTTTTTCAACTGATGTTGATGAATCGCTGGCCGATGCCATAACACTGGATGTTGTTGATTCACCACCAGTCTGCGAAGTGCTTGCAGTGGTACTGGAGTCAGTAGTTAAAGCTGGGTTAGTAGTCATAAGCGAGGTACTTGTTTTGGAACTAGGTGGCATTGCTGAAGTAAGAGTCGTAGTCGAGGATATGGGAGTTGGCGTTGTTGTTGATTCTCTAGCAGTTTCCGAAGTACTTGTAGTGGTACTGGAGTCAGTAGTTAAAGCTGTTTTGAAACTAGGTGATATTGCTGACGTAAATTTTGTAGCCGAGGATGTGGGAGTTGGGGTTGTTGTTGTTGATTGGATTGTTGTCGTAGTAGCTTCACCCTTTGTGGAAGAGAATGAAGTAGTACCTGTTGGTTGCTGAGTTGAGAGGCTATTGGGTGTATTACTAGTTGTAGTGGCTGGGGAACTCTCTATCATTTTGTTGCAAGATACACTTACATTAGTGGCTTCAATGATAAAACCAAGTAAAAATTACACACTAATTAAGTAGATAAGATAGAAATGAAATTGGGTTTAAAGTCCTATTTTATGTATCAACCGGTCTATTGAATTGGTAAGACGGAATAGAATCTTGTATAAAGGGTTATAAAGCGAAAAGATCTGCCGTTCTCTTATAGACACGCATTTATCATGTTTCTGTCATTGTGTTAATATATGGATAACTTGCACAGAAGTAATTTAATTTTGAAATAGACGATCGAGACTGTAATGTGTGACTGACACATGTATGTCTTGGAGTATTTTAGCATTTATAATGATTCTTTGGTGCTATTGGAAAGGAATCACTTCCCGACAGATTCTCAGACGACGCCATCTCGAAAACTAAGTAATTATCTTTCCAAAGGCGAGAATATATTATAGACAGATGAAGTAAACTTTCTATTACCTGAATTAATCCGAACACATCGTGTAAAATTGGAAGTTGGCTGAATTTCTTTCTCTAGTAGTATATCAAGAGTTTCTTTATATTTGAGATAATATGGAAGTGTGGCTGTATTGACTCCGCAGTAAAATCTCCCTGTTGTTTGTGGGTTAGTAATAGTTAAGGTATATTCACACCAATTTGAACTTCTTAAAGAATCAAATTGAACTTGTGTGGTTGCGTCTTGGTCAGTTTGTATTAACTGTAGTAAACAGGAACAGTTATCAATATTATCTTTAGGTTGTATATTAATGTCTAGATATAATAAGGATCCTGTCTTCTCTTCATCACCACAAATTTTGATTGCTGAAAAAAAAAAAAAAACACGGGTAATTTTCTGTCGCCTTTACCTATATTACGGCAAAATAAAATGAATTATTAAGAAGAACAGAATTATTATTTGCATGCAGGGCATAGCATACAGTTTAACTCAAATATCGTACACACTAATTAACACATCTGATACTACATCCCTGTTTAGCATTCCAATTTTATAAATATATTTGTAGTTAACTTTCGATTTTCTCGATACTCGATTTTAGAAGTAAACTTTCGATTTACTCGACTTTGCCTTTTACTCCATACTCCGTCTGTCTTAGACAGACTATTGTACTCAACATTCTGCAGTATTCTTAAGTTTAGATAGGGAATACACAGGGACTGTTTAACAATACACATATGAATTCAACCAGCAAAATACAAATTCGAGAGACGAAATAGAATTGAGACAGAAAAAAATAATACTATACCATCTTTAGATTCACATCTTTCGCCTGAAAAAGGATTTTTCATAGAAATATTAAACTGCCCTAAATTAAATTGTTTTTTACGGTTACAAATTTACTGTTTTATGACATATAAATATACACGTATAATTATGATAGTGATTACTTATGTACGTTTATCAATTCTTATATTACAGTTTAAGAACCTTAGTTTTAATTACATTATTCAATTTGAATATCGTGTCGTATTATAAATATATTTTAATCAAGGACAATATATACACACTTACCGTATATCATTGGTAAAATTAACAGCATTACCCAAACAAAACCTCCTCGTACAGACATACTGTTGATTATTCCAGTTTTGTGACTAACTCTAGTATTAACTATAAAAAGAAACGATAAGGAAATAATATTCACCATTTGTTCAATCTTATTGTACATGTTTATATTTCGTCCATAATTACCAATAAAAAACATATTATAATCACAGACTTCGAGTATTAGCAAACAGTCTACCTACTATCAAAAATACATTCGACTATTAACAAACGAAATAAATATGAATATTATGTTAACTAGCATGATTACTTTCATACATGCTTTTAAGGTTGTTTGGAACCCTAAAAAACACGAACATGTAAAAGCACATATTAATGTAATATATGGATGTATATAAAGTGATTTATATTCATTTTTTTTAGAAAGCATTGTAATTTCTAATCGGTTATGTTTAGTGCAATACGTAAACAGTCGCAATTGAACGACAGTCGTTCATGCCTGCTTGGTCTATTCTACAAGTTGTTTTATATTATCATTGTGTCCTTTGTGAATAAGCCATTACTAATTACATCTGCGTCGTCGCGTAGTGAATTTTTTCTTTTTCATTGCAAATGGCGACTGACGGAATAGAATAAACGACTTATGTACTAATTTTACATTGTTCATTATGTCTTAAATATTGGATATTAGGATCCCATATTTTCAAAGCAAGATAACAACACCAATATTGATTTAAATTGACTAATATTAAATTTTAATTCTTGTTTTTAATTGAATTACATGTTTAGCTCTTTTATGATCAGTGATCATTTACAGTTGTCTATTCTGTCCATGTTAACATTGTATAACAGAAAAAAGAGTGTCTCTATAGTCCACATACAAGGTTGAAAGAATGTATAACCTTGAGATGTTGCTGATATAAACAATAAGAATAATAAAGTTTGGTAAACAGTTAAATCTTATTATTATATCGCCTGTTAAATAAGTCATACAATTGTGTGAATATATCTATGTAGTTTCTCTTACCTGACAATAATATTGATATAAATAATAAGAACACATTCGGGTAAGCAGACGTATGCATACCTACCTTCTATCAATTAAACAAGGAAGGAAAATGCCTCTAACTATCATCGTCACCTACCCATATCTATGGCAGGAGTTCGCATAGTTTACAATACAAATAGTGTAAGTCAGAAACAAAGCTCTGGCTTAGGAAAATGGTTACAAAATTTTGTGTTCATGGTTCGGCGATAGCGACCCTTTGGAAACATAAAAAACTTTTGTTGCAAACTAATAAATTTATTAAATCATAAATATTTCCTCCAATTGACTTCAATGTTACATTCATGACATAATCTTGGTCTGTAACATGTTTGAAAATTCCTGTGATGATCTTTTACAATCTCTATATCCACAAAGACCCCAATATGTCACAATCACCTGATACAAATATTGAAAAGGGTTTTGCTGTTTCGATTTTTGCAAGGCTTGCTCAATGGAATCTATAGATAGTAGTGTGATTATTTCAAGCATCAACTACGTTTTCCAGAGTTGTGTCCCCTAGTATACGAGCAGTAATAAGATTAAATTAATATTCTATATTTTACCAATAAAATACATATTATTATCACCGTCATATACTATTATCAAGAATCCATACACTCTTAAAGGTTGTATGGTTCAATTTTTTAGAACTTTAAAATAGACGAACATGCCCCTAAAAGCACATATTTTAATATACGAATGAAAATAGAATGACTAGAACTATAGCTGGCTTTTACGCTGTAACTTTCACAATATTAAAATAACCTACTGTTGTATAAAATGTTAATTAATTTTGAACTTTTCCTAAATATTCCGAACTAGTAATCATGACGTTTTCATGAATTGGAATGAGTAGCGATTTTCCAGAAGCTTCCCCACCAAATAGATATCTGTTTCTGAAATAAAGTTCCATGTGTCTGATGGTGTGTGCTTCTGCTTACTCGTTTTATATGATGCTATAGAAACTTCACGGATAACTCCGATAATCATATATTATTCAACATAAGCCTTAATTTTATGAGTAATGGATCTCATCTATCCTTAATTTGAAATTTGAATCCATACTGGAATTTTAATCCTATTATCCTAGATTAATGGAATTCGGGTTTATGGTATCGCTATTAATATGTTGTTCCTATGACAGTCAATCTGTTTTTAAAACCTTTCACTTCATGTATTTGACGATCATTGTGCCATGCATTCCTTTTCAGTTTTAAGACGTGGTACGTTTCTATCGAAATAGACAAGTTCATGCGTCAATTGAATATATGTAGCCCATTCAGCGTGTAGAAGGTCTTTATATGACTGTATAACAAAAGAGTTGTCACCCTTATTTGGTTATAGCTACAAATCTTATAGACTCTTAGGCTGTAAGGCATTGGACGTATTTCTTCGCTTCATAAAATTTACGTTATAGAGTAGAACAACATTTCAATTAAAAAGAAAGGTGTGAAAACAAATTTTATCATTTTAATACATTGTTACACATTATATATAATCACCAAAAAACTTAAATTAAAAAGAAATGTATTAAAAGAAAATGTACCCTTTTTATGATCTTTTAAGGATCTTCAAATATATATACATGTAAATGGATTCATAGTTTAAATAATAGTAACAAATAAAACTAGCTGAATATTTATAAACACCCCATTTTGTTCTAGCCTGGTGTTGACCGTTAAATTTCCTCGGGATTTTCCACGTAGTTTTCTCTTGTCTGGGTTTGCGTGACGGAGGACCTAATTAGGGACAATGGTCATTCGGTTGGGACAAATCACGGTTTGTTTAGAGAGAGAAATGGGGTTTAACGTCCACTCGACACAAACCAGGACATTTCGGGACTAACATATGGACCCGAAGCAAACCCACGAGGTTGGACAGGTGACCGTACTACTTGTCACATACAACCGGAGAATCGAAACCACGCCAGTTGACTAAATGACAGACCTTATGATACATCGCGGACGTGCTCACCATTCGGTCGTCCACCACCCACCCCACGGTGATTTTACGGTTGCGTTTACTATATTTTAAACATTAATCAGTACAATAGATCTGGGGCCGTATTTATAAAAATTCTTAGAGTTTTCATAACTTTTACTCTAAGACTTTCTAAAACAACATTTAGTTAAAAGTTACTCTTTAGAAATATTTATAAAGGGTCTTAGAGTTACTTTTAACTAAATGTAAGACTTGGGTCCTAACCAAACTCTTAGCGATGTAACCATGGGAAATCCGGGGATTCCCTGAAGTTATTTATAGCTCAGTGTTGATGTCATGCAATCACTCTACTCACTGTAGGTTGACTGACGCCGAAATCGTCACCACTACACAGTTGCATTTTACCAGTAGCTAGGAAACGAAGCGTAATGGCGATCTTCATCTCAGCGTCGATTGAGAAATTTCGTTTAGTAAGACTCGTAAGTAGATGCCGAACTAAATCTGTCACAAAAAGAATCCCACCCATGTCCATTCGATATCTCCTTATCAACTCGTCATTGTTGTACTCCACTAAGAAATCTCTTCTTGTTTTAAACTCTCTTAGGCGGCGTACACGGACGGCCATGTTAACCAAGATAAGAGTACTTTTAACAAGTTAGGAGTGTCATAGTTAGGAGTAATTCTTAAAGTAAAATGTTTTATAAATAGGTCTTAGGAAAATCTACAAAGTTAGGAGTAATTTTTGACAGTTAAGAGTTGGTTCCAACTCTTAGAATTTTTATAAATACCGCCCCAGACTCCCCATCCCGATTAGTTGCGATAGCTGCTGTTGGATGCACTTCACGTGATTCTGGCTTAACAGGAGAGACGTGGTAAGCATCGAAAAAGCGGTTATTATTTTCCATATTACCACTTTTGTTTGGTATTGCATAAATCAGATTAACACCATGTTCAGAAGCAACCCCAATAGACCCATTATCACCTAGAGTATCAAATGTAACCTCGTCATTATCCTGGAAGTTAGTACCGGTCTGAGAGAAGCCAGGATTTATTGCTGATATTGGTGTCTCCAGATGTTCATCATTCCGCTGGTCTTTTATAAAAAATAAAATCACACCGGTTTAATTTAAAATAGCAGAATCTGTTAGATTTAGACTCCAATAAATTATTAAATCAGATTTATCAAGTATATTGGGGTTTTTTTTGTTTTCGAGTTAATAACCTTTTACGATTATAGTTTTATTTAAGTTTCGATTTACCTACAGTGTTGGAAAAAATATTATTTATATGTCAAATCATACTAGATCTTTGGATGTAACATATCTTGCAAATGTATCAATACGAATACGAACAGGCAATAAATACCTTATTTACAACATTACGGTGTTAAGCATAAGTTTAAGGAGATTAATTGAATTAGATTCCGATCAGGTGAACTTCCTGAATTAGGAACAAACTATGCAAATTTATAATCTGATTTTTATTGAAATAGGACACGAACTATTGGTGGTTGATTATATTAAATTATAACAAATATTGTACTTACCAAATACAGATGGTAATGATGTAAATAATAGCAATAGCATCCTTAGTCTTGATAATTTTAAAAGTTTTTATTTCATATGGTTGTTTAAGTTTTCTGTCATATATGACATGGGGTTTAAAGTCTTACTGTTCTGTTCCGACTGGGCTAATGAAGGCGGTGAATTTCATATAGATTCAATAAAAAAATATTAAAACAGCTAATCCTTCAGAAACGAATAATAAGTGCAATTATGATTTAAAACTCTTCTACTACATAGGAAGTCACTATCACACTGAGAGCAGAAGGGAAAATAATAACGCCCTAATTCTTCTTTTGAAGTACGGATGATCCAGAGAGAGAGAGAGAGAGAGAGAGAGAAGAGAGAGAGAGAGAGATGGTGTTCACTCAACACAGACTAGGTCATTCTACGCACAAGAATGGGGTCGAACACGTAGCACTTCACACAATGACATACCTCTTGGTCTAAAGTGCATTCAATAGACCACTCTGCCACCCATCCCTTAATACCAGTTGGGGTTTGTTTAAACAATAAATATAAAGTACCCTGTGACAGAGAATCTCCGGGTGATTCTGAAGATACAGGCGTGGTGATGGAGAGGCCATTAATTGTCTCGATGTTTGAAGAAGATTTTGGTATCTCAGTAGATGTTCTATCATATTTTATTGTTGAACTATCTGTTGTTGGGAACACGTTTATATCAGTTCCAGCTAAATCTGTGGGTAATTCGGTATATTCAATCTGTGATTCACAGCTAATACTGAAGTTAATTCTTGAAACTAAAAAAGGGAAAATATAAATTCTCATAACTATGCATTACAATCATATTAAAATGTATTCATAATTATACATTATTCTAACATAGGAATGAAGATCAAGAAAAAAACCAAACAAACATAGGAATGAAGAAAAGATTTAACTGTAATTAAATATTAACTTCTATAAATTCGGAATTAGAATGGATGACCACTTCCCTGATTTTGTATTTAAAGATTAAAGGGACACCTACTTTTTATTCTTGATAAAATAGCAATATTCAAAAGTAGCATTTAAAATTTCACAATCATCGAAATATCAAAATATTTGATTAAATGTATACCTGATTGGACTTCAATGCATCCTGTAAAATCTGTATTCTGTAAATTTATTTTCTGTAGCGACAAATGTGTCGTCTGGTTTGGATTTACATGGAATATCATCAATAGCGTCCCCATGTCTGCACAATTATACTGACCACGTGACCCCACGTTTGCTACAGTAAAATCATATATACACCAGTTTGACTGAGAATTTTTGGGATCAAAATTCACCAGGTAGTCGGACTTGGTATGGTCAGGTTGTATTAACTGTAGTATACAGGAACAGTTGGTTATATTATCTCCAGGTTTAATATTTATATCTAAATATAATCTAGATCCTGTCTTTATATCATTACTACACATGTTGACTAAAGGAGCTGAAAATTAACAGAAAACTATATTATTAAAATGTATATTTTTATTTCATTACCACACGTTGATCACTGTGGCTGAAAATACACACGATTTAGCGGTACCGTTGGAAACTATATAAATATGATTTTTAAGGCATTAGAGATAACTCAGTGTTCTTATAGAACATGAATACAAAATTGATAGGGGTTGTCATCTTTTTTAGAGCAGTAATAGAATATAGATCAACAGTATATGAATATAAATTTGCTCTCCAAATCCTGCACTTGTCTGCAAAAAAATGAATGTAAATACCGTCATAAGTGATGATTTCTCTTTGTTTACGAACATTCGCGGCCTTTTTATAATAATGCCATGGCAGCCAAGCAAAAGCCGAATTTGCAGGAACAAACGTGGTTGATTGACTTTGTGGAAGGCAACCCGTGTTTCCATGCCAGAATGTGGAAATCCACATGCTCACATTTCACGCGAGAAAAACAACATCGAAAAAGTCCCATTGAAAAGAAATTTTTGATGGAATTATTGTAGACGGAATATATTATTGGAAAACAATTATAGCAGTTTTGTTCATCAAGGTGTTTAGATACATGTATATCCTTTTGGTTTGTGCTATGAAGGTTATATTGTCAGGACAGCGGCGCTACGGCCTACTCATATATCGAATTCCAACTGTCAAGTGTTCTTTTACGTGTATGCCGCTTCCCATCAAAGCGACTTGACAGGCCCTCCGTACTGCACCATTATAAGTATAATTGTAATTGATTCATATGCTGAATATAACCTAAAAATCCAATGGGTCACATATGACAGAATATTACCGACACCCAAAACACCCAATGGATCACATGTGACATACCCATGTTCAACAATTTATTCTTTTCGTGGAAAACATTATACTTAGCCAAAACTGTTCCTATGTTATCTTTGAATACAAATTTTATTGTTTATTCAAATGAACCTGCGCTCTGTATCATAAGGTCTGTCTTTGAGTCAACTTGCGTGGTTCCGATTCCCCGGTTGTACGTGACAAGTAGTAGGATCGCCTGTCTAACCTCGTAGGTTTTCTCCGGTTTCCTCCCACTGCTAAAATCCCCTAAGCATATTAGTCCTGTAATGACCTAGTTTGTGTTGAGTGAACGTTAAGCCCCATTTCTGGCTCTCTATATTCAAATGAAGAACATGCAGTTTATCTAATTACGATATAAAATTCTTAAACTTTAGAGGTACTAATTGCGCGTCGGCTTTAAATAAAGGTAACCACATTACATCTTGTCAGTTGGTTGTAAAATTTGGTTTACTCGGAACAATATGTTAATTTGTGGGTGGCCGTAATTAATTTGGGTCATATATAACTTCGTGGGTTTCCCAGGGTTAAACAGACGTGTAGGGACTAGTACACGTCTTCCTGGTAATGCGAAATTTAAAGCAACGGAAATGTGCATGTGCAGACTTATTCAGCTTTTCGTAATAAAAACGATAGAATTAGATACCTTGCCTTGTATTACAATTAATATTGATAATACGAAGATTGATAATATTATCCATTCCTATGTTTGGTTGTTTTTTTTTCTTGATCTTCATTCCTATGTTAGAATAATGTATAATTATAAATACATTTTAATATGATTGTAATGCATAGTTAAGAGAATTTATATTTCCCTTTCTTTTTAGTTTCAAGAATTAACTTCAGTATAAGCTGTGAATCACGGATTGAATATACCGAATTACCCACAGATTCAGTTGGAACTGATATAACCGTGTTCCCAACAACAGATAGTTCAACAATAAAATATGATAGAACATCTACTGAGATACCAAAATCGTCTTCAAACATCGAGACAATTAATAACCTCTCCATCATAACGCCTGTATCTTCAGAACCACCCGGAGATTCACTGTCACAAGGTACTTTATCTTTATTGTTTAAACAAACCCCAACTGGTATTAAGTGATGGGAGGGGGGGGGGGGGCAGAGTGGTCTATCGCATGCTCTTTAGACCAAGAGTTATGTCATTGTGTGAAGTGCTACGTGTTCGATCCCATTCTTGTGCGTAGATTGGTCTAGTTTGTGTTGAGTGGACACCATCTCTCTATCTCGCTCTCTCTCTCTCTCTCTGGAACATGTGACTATCCGTACATCAAAGGCAGAATTAAGGCGTTATTATTTTTCCTTCTGCTTTCAGTGGAATAGTGACTTCCTATGTAGTATAAGATTTTTAAATCATAATTGCACTTCGTATTTATTTCTGATGGATTAGCTGTTTTAATATTTCTTTTATTGAATCTATATGAAATTCACCGTCTTCATTAGCCCAGTCGGAACAGAACAGTAGGACGTTAAACCCCATGTCATATATGAAATTCAACGATTTTCTTAAAGCAGACAGGAAACTTGAACAACCATATTAAATAAAAGACTAAGGGGCTGTTAAACCCAGATAATATGATATTCATTTATTATCTCAAGAAAGATGATGAATTGTTCAGTGACTAAATGATTTCTTGTTTCTCTATTACGACTAGTTGATGTTGTTATTATTGTGGTGCTGAGTGTAACTGTTGTTATTGTTATTATTTACATCATTACCATGTGCATTTGGTAAGTACAACATTTGTTATAATCTAATACCCCCGCCAAACCGGGATGACGTCCTTCACGTTTGCCGGCGACCTTGTGCATTTTCAGGTCGCCGTACGATCGCAACAGTGCAGTAAAGACGCCCACCCGGTCTGACGGGGGCATAATATAATCAACCACCAATAGTTCGTGTCCTATTTCAATAAAAGTCAGATTATAATTTCGCAGTTTGTTCCTAATTCAGAAAGTTCACCTTATCGGAATCTAATTCAGTTAATCTCCCTAAACTTATGCTTAACACCGTAATGTTGTAAATAACGTATTTATTGCCTGTTCGTATTCACAAGCATTGATGATTTGATACATTTGCAAGATATATTACATCCAAAGATCTAGTATGATTTGAGATATAAATAATATTTTTTTCCAACACTGTAGGTAAATCGAAACTTAATTAAAACAATAATCGTAAAAAGTTATCAACTCAAAAACAAAAAACATTATACTCGATAAATCTGATTTGATAATTTATTGTAGTCTAAATCTAACAGGTTCTGCTATTTTAAATTAAACCGGTGTGATTTTTTTTTGATTTTTAAGCAAACTAAAAACGAAAGAGCAGAGGAATGATAAACATCTGGAGACAATAAATCCTGGCTTCTCTCAGACCGATACTAACTTCCGGGATAATGACGAGGTTACATTTGATACTCTAGGTGATAATGGGTCTATTAGGGTTGCTTCTGAAAATGGTGTTAATCTGATTTATGCAATACCAAACAAAAGTGGTAATATGGAAAACAATAACCGCTTTTTCGATTCTGATCACGTCTCTATACACCCTGTTAAGCCAGAATCACGCGAAATGCAGCCAACAGCCGCCATTGCAACTAATCGGGATGGGGAGGGAGATCTACTGTATTGATTAATGTTTAATTTATTATAGTAAGCGCAACCGTAAAAACACCCGTGATTTGTCCCAACCGAATGACCAGACGTTGTCCCTAATTAGGTCCTGTAACCTGTTGTAATTAGAGGTAACCAGTGTAAATAACAGGCCAATTGCCTACACATGAACATAAGCAGTTCATATATGGGCGGCTTATCCGACGGCCCTATTTCACTCGAAAAGAGATACACTGTCAAAAATGAAATTGGACGTTTTTGATTTTTGTCTTAATAATGAGTAATTGCTCCACCAATCGTCAGACATTCAGCATTTCGTCGTGGCATGCTCCTAATCAACCGTCCAATCACGATTTGGGCCAATCTAACCCACTCCTCTTGCAGTGTCACGGCCAATTCTTGCAGTGTTGTCGGTTGACGTTGACGTCGACGAACACGTCTCCCGATCATGTCCCATACATGCTCTATAGGGGAAAGGTCAAGACTCGTGGCTGGCCAAGGCATATGGACAATATGGTGACGCTGGAGGTAGTCATTCACGACACGAGCGCGGTGGGCACGGGCATTATCATCTTGAAAGATGAAACGTCGACCTGCACGTTGATCAAAGGGTCGAAATATCGGTGCCAGGATGTGGTCACGGTAGTACACACCAGTAACTCTTCCTTGAACAATATGCAAGTCCGTTCTGCCAGTCATGGTGATTCCTCCCCACACCATAACAGACCCACGCCCGAATCTGTCATGCTGTCTGACGTTAACGCGCCCATCGACGATTACTACGCTGCCTACACCACTGACGCCTGTTTGCCATGTGCTGGCGAGTTAATGGAGGCACAACACGCGGCCATCGCGCATGCAAATGGGCTGCGTGTAGACGATTTCTAATTGTTTGGGTGTTAAATCGAATTCCTGTAACTTGGTACAAGTTTACAGAAAGCTGATTGGCCGTTTGACCTCGATTTCGCAGGACCTGTGTACGAATGTATCCATCCTGGGCTTGTGCAGTGACTCTAGGACAACCTAAACGAGGTCTATCATCAACATTGTGTGTTTGCTGGTACCGGTTCCACAGTCTGCTGATCACAGACTTTGAAACATTAAGCATGTTGGCTACTGCTCGCTGTGTAGAACCCATTTGAAGCATGCCAATAGCACGTAGACGTTCATCTTGTTGAAGACGTTTCATTGCGAATAAAACCTAACACACTAAAGCAAAGATCGATAAACAGTAAATTTTATGCAAGAACCGATAGGAAAGCAAACATGGATAGGATAAACCAGCACCCGGCAGTTTTCATCAACCCTTCCTTGAAGTGTCCAATTTGACAATGAACCCCATCCCACTTGTATAGCGCTATTGCGTGTCGCACGCGCAGCTCAGTGGTTCTGTTGGGGCGATGAACTTCATCTGTGAACATACTCTCAAAGCATGTCAAGTGTCCAAGACTATTTATCAAATCACAGCCTGCATAGGTATTTGCATTTCAACATCACCTACTTTTTTTGAAGCGTATATTACATTAATATGTGCTTTTAGACCCATGTTCGTCTATTTTAAAGTTCCAAAGAATAGAACCATACACCCTTTAAGCTAGTTCATATGTTTCGTATGCTAATAGTCGGATTCTTGATAATAATATGTATTTTATTAGTAAAATGGACACAGATCACTAAAGATTTCCCCATTGACTCCAATGTTAATTCTCGTATCTTAGACCGGCTCTAACTTTTTCCCAAATTTTCGTTGGGTAGAACGCTTTCTACCACAGATGGAGCAACATGTGGCAACCACTTGCCCAAAAGCACGTATGAGGTTCTTCATGAAAAACTTGAGATACACAAGCTGGAAGTAGAGACAAGTAAACATGCAATTTCAGGCCCAACATTTCAACGTAACCAACCTCTCAACTCTTGTATCCTTCCGCATCAAAATTATGAATATTCACCAAAACCTGGCAGAAAATGTATTTTCAAACCCTTTTCCTCAATTCTACACCAAAAAGTCAACAAAAATCGCCATGCAAAAGGGGAAAAAAGGAAAAGGGAGAGGAAGATTAAAAATAGCTTTGGCCCTTGTTTCGTGGGTGACGGCGTAGGAATATTTGGTGATCTGTGTCCTATATAGGGGTGAAACTTCAGGGATCACCAAAAGGCCTTTTTTATTTCCTTCCCATGTGTTCTGGCAACATGCCGGTGAAAGAAAATCAAAATCAAAGAATAACTGTAAAAATGATGGCCCTTTAAGTACACATGCTGCTTTATGTACACTGGTGCATCTCAGGTCCATAGGCCTTTTGTGCTAAAATTTAAAAATCTTTCTTATTAAAGGCAGTATCTGAGTTCTGTGAAAAAATTAGACAAGTAACAAAGAAACTACATACAAAACACTCATAATTTGGAATTTTTTTCAAAAATATAATTTTTTACTGCCATGTGATGAAAAATGTACAAAATTTACATGTAGCATCTCTCAAAATACCAATAATTTTCCACTTTTTTAAATATCCGGACGGACAAGAAATATATTTTTAGAATCTGTGGACAATATGCAAACAGAAAAAATGCAAACCAGTTGCAATGATTGTAATATTAGAGATCTATACTGAAACATGTATGCCTACCCCCTGAACATGCCACTGATTGTATTAATCTAATCTATGGTTGCAGAACTTACATTACCAAAGGAATCTGTCTAACAGCTATGTTTTACCATCCCTGGCTAACATATGCACATATAAACTAAAATAGGTGCAATAAATATGAATTATGGTTAAAAATAGGCCTTGATGAATGAAAAAAATGCCATATTTGGTCTATGATCACCCCTCTCTAACAGAAGGGTCACAGAATACACAATTTTCACAAATTTGGGAATAATTCAATGTTTCCAACATCTCAAACCTCAGAGGCATGTTACAAATTTGTATTGCAATCCTTGTGCTGAAGCAAGATGTCTGGAACTTTACATTAATTTCCTGAAAAAATGAAGTCAAAAAAGTAGTCATGACAGACTTGACAACATAAAAAGAGGCCTGAAAAGGAGAAAAATTAACATTTTATTGTTTTATAGGCAACATAAATGCAGCAAACACCACAAATGCTGGATTTTGATAAGAAAATATTGAACATTAAACTGACATTTACACATCTACACCAGTTTTATATCTGGGTCTGGTCTCATTGGCCTGAAATGCCTCAGGGTTAGAAATCCTTGAAATGCACAAAAAAAATATTTTTGGGTGAAAAATAACATTCTTAGCTGTAATTCAACCACAAATTCCAATTAAGATCATTTACATGTCAACACAGGTGCATTTAAATCCCTCAAAACACATTAATAGAAAAGGGTGGGGTGGGGCATTTATTGCCTCTCTAAACAGAATGATGGAGTAAAAAATGTCTAGAAAGGCTGGGATATTGCTTCCTACATGAAGGAAATGCAAGAATTTAATGTTTCAAAGAAGAAAAAAATGCTTATTCTGGGTAAAATAGTGGCAAAATTGAGCCAACCCCTGTTTTGAACATTTTGTACAAACCCATCTGCTGTACATTATTAACTCAGTGTAACCAATTTTCAATTTTCTGTAGGAAAGCTGGAGCTATTTCTAAACCTGACAAACATGTAGATCCCATCTAAGTTATATTAGCAAAGAAAATATGGGCATTTTTAGACATTTTGACTCATTTTAGTAGTCATGAAAATATTAATTTCTACATCCAAATGGGGGGAATCTCAAGATTTTTTGTGAATATTCCTGATTTTTAGACAAAATTTGGTGAAATTTCAATACTGTTCATTTTATCTGTGCTTTCTGAGACTGAATAAGCCAACATTGGGCATTAGAATATTTTACTTACTGTTAAAAATTCAATAAAAATTGAAAATTGAGAAATTTGCAGTAAAATCACAATTTTTCTTCAAAACTTTGATTTTTTTTTTTTTAATTAACTTTTTTTAGTTTTTCTGTAGCCAAACTATTTTATTCATATTTTCTGAGAATTTAATCTTCATATTTTCAAAACTAAGGCATATCAGTGACAGCCTGGACACAGATCACTAAAGATTTCCCCATTGACTCCAATGTTAATTCTCGTATCTTAGACCGGCTCTAACTTTTTCCCAAATTTTCGTTGGGTAGAACGCTTTCTACCACAGATGGAGCAACATGTGGCAACCACTTGCCCAAAAGCACGTATGAGGTTCTTCATGAAAAACTTGAGATACACAAGCTGGAAGTAGAGACAAGTAAACATGCAATTTCAGGCATAACATTTCAACGTAACCAACCTCTCAACTCTTGTATCCTTCCGCATCAAAATTATGAATATTCACCAAAACCTGGCAGAAAATGTATTTTCAAACCCTTTTCCTCAATTCTACACCAAAAAGTCAACAAAAATCGCCATGCAAAAGGGTGACGGCGTAGGAATATTTGGTGATCTGTGTCCAAATGTGAATATTAACTTAATCTTATATCGATCGTATAATAGGGGACACAACTCTGGAAAACGTAGTTGGACTCAGACTAGCAATTATTTGCCCATTGACTTCAATGTTAAATGGCTGTAACATCACAGGCTGTAGCTTTTTTCTCAACATTCCGTTGGTTCCAATCTTTATAGGCACAATGGGGACAACATTTGGCAATCTCCTCATCATAATTTTGTAGGGGGTTGACCATTTAGATTTTTTGCTACACGGATTTGAAGTTGACTGGGGTGAAAATCTCACTTCCGACACAATGACTGCTCTGCAGAAAGACACTTTACACCCCCTATCCCTCCGCTGTAATATCATCAGTATTACCCAAAACTGCTATGAAATTGCAAATTTGATCCCTTTTCTCCAATTCTAGACCAAAAAGTCAACCCAAAAATGCAGGAAGAGGGGAGAAAAAATTTAAGGGAAAAATTGTCTATTTATAACTCGCACTACATTCGTCCATCATGAAATAAGGGGAAATAATTACTAGTCTTAGTCCAGTTGATGCTTGAAATAATCACATCACTGTCTATAGATTCCATTGAGCAAGCCTAGCAAAAATAAAAACGGCAAACCTTTCTCAATATTTGTATCAGGTGGTTGTGACATATTGGGGTCTCTGTGGTTATAAAGATTAAGATCATCATAGGAATGTTCATACATGTTACAGATCAAGATATGTCATGAATGTAACATTGAAGTCAATTGGGGGAAATATTTATGATTTAATAAATTTTTTAGTTTGCAACAAAAGGTTTACCTGTTTCCAAAGGGTCACTATCGCTGAACCATGAACACAAAATATTGTAACCATTTTCCTAAGCCAGAGCTTTGTCTTTGACTTACACTATTTGTATTGAAAACTATGCGAACTCCTGCTATAGATATGGTTATGTGACGATGATAGTTAGAGGTATTTTCCTTCCTGGTTTAATTGATAGAAGGCAGGTACACATACGACTGGTTACTTGTTCTTATTGTTTATATCAATATTATTGTCAGGTAAGAGAAACTACATATATTCATTCACACAATCGTGTGACTTATTTAACAGGCGATATAATAATAAGATTTAACTGTTTACAAAACTGTATTATTGTTATTGTTTATATCAGCAACATCTCAAGGTGACTTACATATACATTATTACAACTTTATATGTTGACTTATTTAGAGACAATCTTTTTTCTGTTATACTATGTTAACATGGACAGAATAGACAACAGTAAATGATCACTGATCATTAAAAGAGCTAAAAATATGTAATTCAATTTTTCTATTAAATCGAAATTTTCGAATTAAAAACACGTATTAAAATTTTTCATTAGTCAATTTCATTCAATATTGGTTTTGTTATCTTACCTAGAAAATATAGGATCCTAATATCCAATATTTAAGACATAATGAACAATGTAAAAACACGTGAGTCGTGTATTCTATTGCTTCAGTCGCCATTTGTAACAAACAAAGAAACACTTTCCCTACATTAGTAATTAGTAATGACTTATTAACAAACGACACAATGATAATAAAAAAAACTTGAAGAAGGACCAAACAGACGTGAACGACTGTCTTTCAATTGGGACTGTTTACGTATTGCACCAAACATAACTGATTAGAAATTACAATACTTTCTAAAAAAAATGAACATAAATCACTTTATATGCATTCATATATTACATTAAAATATGCTTTTAGAACCATGTTCGTCTATTTTAAGGTTCCAATGAATAGATCCATACACCCTTTAAGCATGTATAAAGTAATATGATTAATATCATACACTGCTAGTTAACATATTCATATTTATTTCGTATGCTAATAGTCGAATGTATTTTTGATGGTAGGTGGACTGTTTACTAATACCCGAAGACTGTGATTATAATATGTTTTTTTTATTGGTAATTATGGACTAAACATGTACAATAAGATTGAACAAATGGTGAATATTATTTCCTTATCGTTTCTTTTTATATTTAATACTAGAGTTAGTCACACGACTGAAATAATCAACATTATGTTTGTACGAGGAGGTTTTGTTTGGGTAATGCTGTTAATTTTACCAATCATATACGGTAAGTGTGTGTCTATTGTCTTTGATTGAAATATATTTATATATATATCAATACGACACGATATTCAAATGGAATAATGTAATTAAGACGAGATTCTTAAACTGTAATATAAGAATTGATAAACGTATATATGTAATCACTATCATAATTATACGTGTAAATTTATATGTCAATAAAACAGTAAATTTGTAACCGTAAAAAACAATAACAGTTAGGACAGTTTAATATTTCTATGAAAAATTCATTTTCAGGCAAAAGATGTGAATCTGAAGATGGTATAGTATTATTGTTTTTCTGTCTCAATTCTATTTCGTCTCGCGAATTTGTATTTTTTGGTTGAATTCGTATATGTTTTGTTTTGTATGTTCGTTGTTGAACAGTTCCTGTGTATTCCCTATATAAACTTGTATTATTAAAACTGTTGCATCACGTCGAAAAGAATAGTCTGTGAAACTGTATGAAGCGAAAGGCAAAGTCGAGTAAATCGAAAGTTTACTCCCAAAATCGAGGAAAAACCGAATACCAAATAAATAATAGTTCTTTTCTTATTAATTATTCACATTATTTTGAGGTAATATTGGAAAAGGCGATAGAATCTTATTTTTGACTACACTAGTTACCTATTTTTCAGCTATCAACATTTGTGGTGATGAAGTAAAGACAGGATCCAAATTATATTTAGACATTAATATACAACCTAAAGATAATATTGATCACTGTACCTGTGTACTACAATCTGACCAAGACGCAGCCCAATCAGTTCAGTTTTATTCTGTACCTCCATCATATTGGTGGGAATATACCTTAACTATTACTAAACCACTAATATCAGGAAGGTTTGACTGTAGATACAACACACCTGTACTTCTATTTAATGTCAAACATACAGAAACTCTTGATATACTACTACAGAAAGAAATTCAGCCAACTTCCAATTTTACACGATGTGTTTGGATTAATTCAAGTAATAGAAAGTTTACCTCATCTGTCTATAATATATTCTCGCCTATGGAAAGATAATTACATAGTTTTCGAGATAACGTCGTTTGAGAATCTGTCGGAAAGTGATTCCTTTCCAATAGCGCCAAAGAATCATTACAAATGCTAAAATACTCCAAGATATACATGTGTCAATCACACATTGCAGTCACGATCGTCTATTTCAAAATTAAACTATTTCTTTGCAAGTTATCCATATATTATCACAATGACAGAAACATGATAAATGTATTTCTATAAGAGAACGGCAGATCTTTTCGCTTTATAACCCTTTATACATGATTCAATTCCGTCTTACCAATTCAATAGACCGGTTGATACATAAAAGTAAGACATTAAACCCCATTTCATTTCTGCCTTATGTACTTAAAGATACATTATGGGAGATTAGATAAAGAGCTGGAAGTTATCGCTATAATTGTTAAAAACTAGATAATGTAAAGGGAATTTGCTGAAATTTTTTGTCAAATTGATCCACTATGAACCGAGATTTTGTCGATTGGATTTTCGGTCTAGCCTCGATCATCATTACCAAAGTCGGCAGGATAAAAACATAGCCTCGATTATCCATTTATTGATTAAAATATGAATGGAAGTCGAACAGGAAATCGAAGCCTAATCCAATAAACATCCCAGCGATGACATCGAGAGTTGGTTATGGTCTGGATAAATTAATTAATGTCTAATTAATAATTTAGATAACATTTCAAGCCTAAAGAAAGACCTGCAATAGGCAGATTCAACTCTTGCATAATGTATGTCTAATTATTGTACATTTAATACTTCGTTTTATCATTGTAGCCACTAATGTAAGTATATCTTGCAACGGAATGACAGAGAGTTCCCCGGCCACTACAACTAGTAATACACCCAAAAGCCCCCCAACTCAGCAACCAACAGATACTTCATTGACTTCCACAAATGGTGAAGCTACTACGACAATAATTCAATCAAGAACAACAACCCCAACTCACACGTCCTCGGCTACAAATCTTACGTCAGCAATACCATCTAGTTCCAAAACAAGTATCTCGCTTATGATTACTAACACAACGTCATTTACAGCTTCAACTACTGACTCCAGTACCACTGCAAGTACTTCGGAAACTCGTGGAGAATCAACAACATCAAGTGTTGCAGGATCGGCCAGCGATTCATCAACATCAGTTGAAAACGTGACAAAAAACCCAAGTTCTTCTTATACAGGATCTGGAGAGACCCCCACTGAAACAACAACTTTATACGTAGCTCCAGATGGTCTATCAGACACACAAGGTAATCACCCTCTTTCTTTTGACATTTCTTTCTGAATTATGGGCCCTGATTGTACGAAAAATCACGTTTTTGGCTTGTTGTCCCTCTGGAGGTCACAATTATTATCCGATTATAATAATAAAAAAAACGTTTGATTATATCACCGTTACGCCGTAATGAAGGTTGAGTTTGAATTACATGAAAATCGGACCAAAACTGCCGGACAAAATGGCCGTCGCTTGTACGCGAATCGTGTAAAAATATGTTATATCAAGGTTGTGAACCCTGTAGAGGTCACAAATTTAATCCGATTTTGATGAAACTTGAAATGCATGTTTATAACCCAAAGATTTTGGTTCCTTTCGATATTTGCGCATATCGGATCGTAACTTCCTGAATTATGGCCCCTGATTGTACGAAATCGCCTTTTTTCGGTTGTGGTCCCTCTGAAGGTCATAATTATTATCTGATTTCAAAAAAATGTTTGATTATATCACCGTTACACCGTAATAAATGTTGAATTCGAATTTCGTGAAAATCGGACCAAAAGCTTGTTCTCTATCCATCTCTTGCAAAATGTGGGCGTATCCTGGCTGACAGCCGCTGTTTTTTTAAAATTCAATTTACTTCTATATTTTATAGTTGGTGCTATTATTGGTGGAGTGTTAGGTATTATATTGGTTATTGGTGGCGTGCTACTCGCTATATTAGTATGGTAAGATTATTCAACAACATTAAATATTACGTTAAGTTCATTTTCATTAATTTGAATTCGTCGATTTTAATTTTATTTTTCGAGTGTCAATTTTGACAAGAAGTAAGAGTAAATGTAGAAAATATACAATAGTCATGCTTTTGTTTTAAAATGTCATTCTTCACGAGAGCTTGAAACTCACTTTATTCCTATTCAAAAAATATTTATTTTATTTTTTTATTTTAGGAGATGTTACAGAAATAGGACACCAGAAGAAGATACCACGTATACTTCCTTAGATCTACAAAATAATATAACGCCTACGGATGTGACGTATCAAGGTCTTCAACATATCCCACCACCTTTGACGACCACCACTTTAACCCACCAGCCACCCAGGAGTCACGCTAACGGACACCTCAAATCGCCCCAACAAACATCCACAGTCGACTCTGATCCAAATTCCACATCAATATCATCTTATGAAAACCTCGTGTCTTGTCAACCGACGGTCCCCGGTGAAACCTATGAAAACCTTACTTCACATGAACACATAATGAATCATCCAAATCAACAATCATCCCCAGTCCACGAATATGAAAATTTCTCTGGTACTTGAGATAAGACTAAATGTAACACAATAAACCGGCGATGCGTTTCGCCTGAACAATATTTTGTGATACAATTTCTGAAAGACAATGTTCATTTCTTTCATTTCTACAAATGTGGACGTATATTTCCGTCGCCCCTGTCTGTGTGAATGGGTGTGTGTGGGTGTGTGTGGTTGTGTGTGCGTCGCCTACAGGCCGCAATTCATACGTGATCCTCTTGAAACCTTACATACTTATTCCTTTTATGCTAAGGATCATCCCTATTGTTTTTAGTGCATGTCCGACCCCCAAGGACAGAGCCACACCCATTTCTTGTATTTGTTTGTTTGTCGTATACAGGCCGCACTTCTTAACCTATCATCTTGAAACTTTACATACTTATTCTTTATACCCTATGGAATATCCCTATTGTTTGTGGTGCATGCCCAACCCCCAGTGGCAGAGCCACGCACATTTTCTTTTGCGTGTGAGTGTCACATATAGGCCACAATTCTTAATCGATCGTCTTAAAAAATTTTCATACTTATTCCTTATATCCTAAGGATGATCCCTATTGTTTTTTGGTGCATGCCCGACCCTCAGTGACAGAGCCACGCCTATTTCGTGTATTTGTTTGTTTGTCATCTACAGGTCTCATTTCTTAACGTATCATCTTGAAACTTTACATACCTATTCCTTATATCCTAAGACTGACCTATTGTTTATGGTGCATGCCCAACCCACAGGGGTAGAGCCACGCCCATTTTCATTTTGTGTGCCTGTGTGTCGCCTACAGGCCACAATTCTTAATCGATCCTTTTGAAACTTTTTATACCCATTCCTATACCCTAAGGATGATCCCTATTGTTTTTTGGGTGATTGCCCGATCCCCATTTTTTCTTTGTGTGTGTATTGCCTACAGGCCATGATTGTTAATGGATCGTCTTGGAACTTGGCTTATGTATTCCTTATAGCCTAAGGACGGCAACTATTGATTTTGTCCCGACACCCAGGAGCAGAGCCACGCCCAATTTTTGTGTTTATCATATACAGGTCGCAATTCTGAATGTATCAGCCCGAAGGCCACAATTCTGGATGGATTATCTTTGAATTTGCTATAGTTATTCCTTTTACCCTAAGGATGTTGGTGCTGCCCCCCCCCCCCTCGCGCCATTTGTTGATATATTGTCTGTAAATGATATACAGGTTGCAATTATTAACAGATTTGGATCCAATTCGGAATTGCGGGGAGGATATTGAACAATATAAATATGTACCACCCTGTTATTGAAATGATTGATATGGTGAATTTAAACAAAATCTGTTAATTATTGCAACCTGTAGAGTATTTACTGATAAATATTAACAAAAAAGTAGGTGTGGTACCACACCCCTGGGGATCGGGACATGCGCCAAAATAAATAGTTGCTATCCTTACAGAATAAGGAATAAATATGACAAGTTCCATTTAGAATTCCAGCCTGTAGACAAAAACCACAAAAATTTGGCGTGGCTCTGCCCTTGGGGCTTGGACATGGACCAATATAAATATGTACAACCCTATGCTGGATCATTCCGAATTGGATCCAAATCTGTAGAGTCGTCTGTCCAACCTCGTGGGTTTTCTCCTGGTCCTCCGGTTTCCTCCCACTGCTAAAGACCCCTACGCGCAAGCGAATTATTGAAATAAAATTAAACCATATGATAGTCCCGAAATGACCTAGTTTGTGTTAGTGGACGTTAAACCCCATTTCTCTCTCTCTCTCTCTCTCTCTCTCTCGCTCTCTTTAGGAATACATTACATTCAATTTCTGAACGCTTTTCGCTTTTAGAGTACCATGTTGACTGCATCGAAATTAGGAACTATTGAGTAACACAGGAACATAATGTTTGGCATTCCTAATAATATCATTTGTTCAACAATACACAGTTGCTAAAAGTATATTTTTCTGTGAGTATATTTTTTTTTTTACCACTGTACATATATATACCTGGTGTTTCTGTATTCGTTTGTCTATTCTCCAATTCAGAATCCGATGTTGAAGATAAACTAACAGTAGAATCAGTAATATTATTAGTTGTACTAAGATATATTGAGGTTGATGTAGTAGTTTTGGTAGAGGTTGTAGTAAGATATATTGAGGTTGATGTAGTAGTTTTGGTAGAAGTTGTAGTATGATATATTGGGGTTGATGTGGTAGTTTTGGTAGACGCTGTACTATTAAATCTTGAAGTTGATGTATTAGTTTTAGTAGAAATTGTAGTATCGAATATTGAGGTTGGTGGAGTAGTTATAGTAGAAGCTATAGATGTTTGTTTATTGTCGGGCTGCGAACATGATACAGTAACCAGAGTATCTACAAATTAAACAACGAAATTGGTTAGTTCAAGGTTTAGTTGAGCTTTACTGCAATAAGATCTTTCTGGAAACACACGTGTATGTTTAAAGCATATAATTATGTCCGCCACTGACCAAAGATTTTATGCCACGGTCTGACAGCAGCTCTATTAAATTATAACAGTTTGAACCAATAGGGGGACGCATAGGCGTACAAGCCAGGGAGCCAGGGGGGCAGGGTGCAGGGGGGCAGCTGACCCCTCACTTTCGGGCAATCTGACTTTTCGGGAAGACGGGTAAAATAAAGTGCCCGAAATCTAATAAAACAATAATTTTACCTTTCTTTTAAATAAATACTACGAATTTGTACTGAATTTACTATGGATTAAAGCATTTTGTCTGGAGCCACTTTGTTCGACATTTTTCGGGCATCGATTATTATTTGTGAATACAGCTCCAAGTCTGATTGGATGGTTGAAATTCAGGTCGGCATAGTGTGGGATTTCGGATACAAAACCGATTGGAAACTTTGAAATTGCTTAATTCACGGACTAGAATAGCAGAAAAAAGCATTTGCGGCGGTTAAATTTTCAAAAATTTCGCGGGGGGGGGGGGGGGGGGGCGGGGGCGAGTCATACCCAGCGACGATTGATTGCTTGTTTGGGATTCGGGTAAGTCACCTAAGGTAGGCTATTGGACCACATTGAAGTTGCTGTATTCACGGGCTGGAATAGGAAGAACACGCGTTTGCGGAAGTTAAATTTTCAAACATCCATCGAGCTCGTACGCCTATGCATCACGGGACCATTTTATGTATATATTTATCTGATATTTCTAGGTTTATCTTGATAAGAGGGCACACGCGGTCTTCTTTATATTATATATTATTAATGGCATACGTATTCAACAAGGACGTTACTCAAATATCTATTTTATTTTTACACGTGTCGCGGCGTTAAGGAGAATACAAGGCCTGACTATTCATTTTATTCGTGCAAACCAGGGAGGTGTTACATAGAAATAGAAGATGTTTTAACATACAACAGTCTAAACGCTAGGTTCCCACTATCACGATTCGCGCCATGAAAACGCGTTTGCGGCCATCAAATTTTCTTTTTGGGGTGGGAGGGGGGGCGGCTACTATACGGCAAGCTCCGCGGAAATTGTTTCGGGCATATCAGCTCTGCCCCCCTCCCCCCTAACATTCATCAAACCCGTACGCCTATTGGGGGACGAATAGCGCCTTATATACTGCAGGGTTTAGAACTCAAGTGAGTGTTTACCCTACCGAACACATGTCGTAAATTCTCGGTCATATTCTGTAATAATATATCTACTGTAATAATTTGACCGTATCTCGAGAACTAAGGAATTGTCTATCGAAAGGTGGCAATATATTATAGAAAAACTATATATCTCCTTTCAGTTAATTATGTTTTTATATCTAACAAATCAGTCTTTAATATTAATTTATATTTGTATTATAATATTGATAATACAACTAGAAAATAATGTTTATTACACCATTTTGTCTTCGTTGTTGTTTTTTGGTACTTCTATTACCTTTCATGATCAGTGGTCCCACTATGTTAAATATGCTAAACTGATAATATTACCTGAAGAAATCTGAACACATCGTGTAAAATTGGAAGTTGGCTGAATTTCTTTCTGTAGTATTATATCAAGAGTTTCTGTATGTTTGACATTAAATAGAAGTTTAGCTGTGTTGTCTCTACAGTAAAATCTTCCTGTTGTTAGTGGGTAAGAAGTAATAGTTAAAGAATAATCACACCAATTTGATCCTCTTAAAGAATCAAATAGAACTTGTATGGCTGCGTCTTGGTCAGATTGTAGTAAACAGGTACAGTTATCAATATTATCTTTAGGTTGTATATTAATGTCTAGATATAATAAGGATCCTGTCTTTACTTCATCACCACAAATGTTGATGGCTGAAAAAACACCTGTAAGTGTAGTTAAATATAATTTTCTGTCGCTTTTACCTATATTACCGCAAAATAAAATGAATTATTAACAATAACGGAATTATTATTTGCATGCAGGGTTAACTCAAATATCTTACACACTAATTAACATATCTGATATTATATTCCTATTTACCATTCTAATTTTATAAGTATATTTGAAGTTAACTTTCGATTTTCTCGATACTCGATTTTGGAAGTAAACTTTCGATTTGCTCGACTTTGCCTTTCACTCTATACCCCGTCTGTCGTAGACTATTGTTTTCAACATTCTGCAGTATTCTTACGTTTAGATAGGGAATACATAGGAACTGTTCAATAATGCACCAGCAAAATACCAAATTCGGGAGACGAAATAGAATTGAGACAGAAAAACAATAATACTATACCATCTTCAGATTCACATCTTTCGCCTGAAAAAGAATTTTTCATAGAAATATTAAACTGCCCTAAATTAAATTGTTTTATTACGGTTACAAATTTACTGTTTGACTGACATATAAATGTACACGTATAATTATGATAGTAGAGACTTTTGGCAAGCGGATTTTTTCCAATCCGTATCAGGTATCCGTAACGTCACGTGATACGTTGCGTCAATGTAGTTTTAGAGTTTTGGCAGATTTTCCCGGCGCGTACGTATGAGTAGCTGAGCTTAGTTCTATTACAGCATGATGGCAGTTATCTACCAAGATCACCATCAGTACTAGTCAAGTGCCTAGCCTACAAATTCTTTGAGGGATTAAAGTCGCTCGACAGTCGCTGAGCTATTAAAAAAACATTTAATTCCCATGAAAGCTCATAAAACATAATGATTAAATTCCAGTCTTTATCGTGGTTAAAATCACATCAAATATACACCTTCGCGTTCTGATACACATAGATTCATAAACACGCTACCACAACATTTCGGCGTCTAAAAGCAGCAAACAAGACGGTAAAAAGATGACGATGTTATACGGACCTTTTCCGTCGATACGTGCTGCCGTATCCGTGTGGCGTATCACGTATGAGAAAAACACACACATTGATGACGTCACAAGCATAATCGATACGGATACGTGATACGGACCACGAATTTACGCTTGCCAAAAGTCTCCAGTGATTACTTGTGTACGTT